TCCAGTTCGGCCCTGAAGTGGTCTACCCGGTAAGGGCGACCGGTCACGTCGCAATGAAGGAAGACGGTGTTCACAGCAAAAGTTCCTGCTGGCAGGGGTGGGAGAACAACACGATAATCGTCCGTCGAAGAAAGAACAGATAAACCATAGAGTAATATAGTTAACGTAAAGAGAGGACACAGGAGCCGATTCGCGGCCCAGATAGTGCGTTTAATACCCTCCGCTACGTGGCGCTTTTCTGCAATTTGGTTAAAATTAATTAAAACTCTTTCTGTGTAAAGTGTTTATTTTTTGAATGGCAATGCTTTAAAATTATTTAAAGTACTTAAAACGACTAAATAGTTTAAATCAAATACGTCACAAAAACCACGTGATGAATGGCGCCTGCCATGGCCTGCCAGCCTGCACGCCGTCGCTCGCCTCTGCATCATTCTGCATGGCCTCTGCTCGTCCCTGCGTCGTTTGTCTGTGCCGTGCGTGCCGTCCATCTGTGCTTTCTGCTGCATCATGTTCGGTCGACTTTGCATCAATCAAGGTGACGCATGACCGCCCACGTGCTCGCATGCTCGGCGTGAATTCGTGGAGCCGATCGGTTCGAGCTTCTCGCGCTCTTGTTTCTGCTGGGCTGTCTGGCTGCACTTGAACGTGTGTGCATGTTGTTTGTTGAGATTGTTTAAAAAAAAAAGAATTTAACTAACGACCCTGCGCACGACATTGTCAATGGGTTTACAGATGACGGTGTTGAACGAACCTCTAACATTGCAGATAGAGCCTTGGTTGTTATGCTGTCTGAAATTTCCAGGAGGTGCGTTTAGCCCCTTGCATACACTGTTGTGCACACTCCAACAACGTCTTCTGTTTAACGCAGTCTCCTCATTTCTCTCATTCGGGAGCTTAAGACTGTTTGCTTCACAGTAAAGGCTGTGGTCTGTGGTTAGGGGGCTTCAAACGTAAGCTTGGTGTGTGTGTTGATAAGCCATTTTTTTAAGTTGACAACGAACACGTTTACTTTGTCTTTGATGTTCCGCACCTTCCCTAAAAAAGCAAGAGAAATCTCCAAGCCCACAAACTTTGCATTGGAAATGAGGTCCTTGAGTGGTTTTCAATTGTTGAACTTTATTGTTCTATTCATGAGATGAGCTTGCAATTGGCTCCGAAACTTACTGAGAGACACATTGTTTCAAGAACCTTTCTGTAACATGGTAGAAAATTGTGCCCCACAGGTACTGAGTGCCTCACTCTTTCTTGCAATCATATCCCTTGTTTATGCCAAGGAACTTCCTGAGGCAGCCATGGCTACGGCTTATTTCTGTGATAGGATATGCATACTTTTTGATTGTCTAAATAGCTAATAAATTCAAGAAGACAGGGCAGAAGTTGCGTCATGCCATTCTGAAGGGAGAATCTGAAATACTTGATTTTCTCCACCAGTAACTCGGATGGATTTCAGCATGGCAGTTCCAAAGTAGGAGGCAGCCATAAGCCATCATTGGGTGGCAAGTTACTATAAAAAGTGTCCTCATGCTCTGGGATGAGCTTTCAAGCAGCCATGACATACACTACTGCTTTCAAGCAGCCATGACTTACTTACTGACGCCTGCAGCAAGACACACTTGATAACGTTTTTGGAGCTATATACGACAAATGCTGGGCTGCACCGCAAACCCAAATGTGCATCAGTTCACCTCAGGACTAAAACACCTCTCGATAAAGAAACTGTACAAACTGTCGGACAATGAAAACGTAGATGATGACAAGGCTGACCTTCTAAAGGAGTTGCAAATATCTTCGCACCATGAAAGTTTAATTTCAGACATTGTGGAATGTCTTCCAATTGATAACTTCCCGCCACTAGAGGATATTTCTGAGCTGGCATCAGACATCAGGTCTAACATAATTGATGACTCGCCCACTTTTTTATTACGTTTGGGGCTATTTGATAAAGCTTTTGCTTGAACAGACAACTTACAGCTATGGCTGTTCTCAGCTGCTATCGGATGAGTCTAACAACTTGACCAAGCTTCACCAATACTGTCTTGTTCCTAAAGCATACCACGTGCCTGGAAAATTCTTCGGAGACTTAGTAGTACCATCACAGGCTGCCTTTCATTTCATTCAGCAACTAGAAAATCACTTTCTTCCCATAATAGAGAGTGTGACACATGTTCGAGGAGTGTGTGCCGCCTTGTATAGCACACTTTGAGGTCTGGGTGGTTTTATCCTTTGCCCAGAGGAGTACCACAAAAGGTTTTTAAGATTGTTTTGCAGATTACGCTTGTGTTGACATGTTTGATTTCTTAACCGGAATTTGGACAAAGTTCGGTTGCACTCTTCGGTGGCTAGTAAGCAACGAGACAGGTTTAACTGTTAATAGTGTATTAACAGAGGCGGTTGCCAACCCAAAAACAAAAAGTGCTTATCAAGTGGGCGCGGCAGCTTGCTCTCCAAACATTTGTTTCCCCTTTTTCCAGCGAATGTGTATCACGGCTCCCTAACAAAAATATTTGTCCACTTTCTACAAAATTTCGACAGAAAATTGTGTATAGAGGCTAAAAATATTTGAAAGAAAATGTATCCACTTTTGTATCCACTGTCCATAGTTTTTTAGCCGCTTTTTTCTGAACAATTTCGGGGGATGTTTAGGGACGTTGAATCTTGTCAGATTTCGAATAGAGTTCTCATTGTTTGGTAATGGCTCGCCCGCAGTGAGTTTGAGGCTAGGCAAATTGGTGTTTTTTTATATTTGCCGGAAATCGGGAATTTGTACTATCCGGCGTGTGCTTCGCACTGTTATTATACTTTTATGACTGGTAATGATAGCGATGTCTTATTTATTTTTGCACTTACTTCACGTACCCGAGTCGGCGTGAAAGTGAATGTATCATACAGCATGTTCTCCGTGGAAAGGTTTTGTTAACTTGGTTCCGCTAAGAATCTATTACGAAGTGTACGATATGCTGAAGTCCTTCATAATCATTTATTTTTGTGAGTATCGATCTCTTTCGTATAAAACATACAGAGCTCCTGAAGTAGATCTTGTATACATGAATGTGGTCCAATAAATTGTGTTCGAACCACTTATTGTTGGTGACCCCAAAATGCTCCACCAGTCAGGAGTCAATGCGGCGATTGTGTAACTTCAATGCTTTACAATAAAAAAAGAACAAGAAATATATATACTTCTGCTTTGTGAAGTAAGTTGAAATATTGTTTGACACATTTTGCACAGACTCTATCGTAAAAAATAAAGCAAAAGTGCGTCAGTATTAAAAAAAAAACAAAAAAAAAAAACAGCGGCTTCGGGAGTCCCGAGAGCCGAGCGAGGCGGGGAGGAAAGAGAGAGGAGTACCGGAGAACCGGAGCAGAAACGCCCGAACCGAAACCGAAACTAACTTGACCGGAAACGGAATGAGATTATGCTTAATCCCCCCCGCTAGGAGCGCTACCTGTCACAGGTCTATCTGGGCCGCTGGGGCCTATGGCAGTGTCCGCTCTTTACCCTGTGTATATTACTCTATGGTAAAAGTAAACACGAATATTTTAGACGTAAGGAGAAGCGGTCCTTCTCGGTCATGCACGCGCCGATATAACTTACCCTATGTTTTTATCCAACTCCTTTGCTATTTGAGGTCTTACTTAGAACTGAACAATCAGTAGAATTTTTAATCAGTGTGATGATTACAAGTAGGTATAAAACACGCACCCATATTGCGAGCTTGAAGAACGAAGTTTGGGGTCTCAAACGGCTCATGCTAGAGACAAAATAATTGCTCCTTCATTATAACGCACGCCAACTGTACAATAAAAAAGGTCCCGACGTTACTTTGATTTCATGCTCTAACAGCTGCTTTTTTTTTTTTTTGCTGTATTTTTAGCAGATATTATGCGTGTGATGATTTTCGTCAGAGAGTATCGTATCGCACGCAGATACAAAATTAGTACTTCGCAGCGCATAAAAGTCTCACGGAGCCAGGCACTCACTCAATTACAGACACAAAAACATACACACAGTACTGTGTATGTTTTTGGGCCTGTAATTGGGTGAGTGCCCGATTTTGTGAGACTTGTGTGCGCTGTGAAGTACTAAGATGGAAAACCAACTTCGGTGTTAACAAGATACAATTTGTTTTTATAAACCTGGTAAGTTTCCTTAGGCCTGCCACGTTCCAAATTATTACCAAATCTAAGCCTGACAATTCTGCAAACCATACAAACTGTTGCAGACGACACACTGCAGTCATTCCGTGCGCGTTCGTCACGCGTTTGTCGTCTGCAGCAGTCATCCCGAGATGTCTCGAGGACCGGACGTTGTCCTCACAAAAATTTCAGATACAGCCGACTCTCGGAAATCATTCTGTCGTGGCAAGTGGGAAATCTAAGCTCTCTCTATATATATTTTTAGACGTTTTGATTCCACGTCCGATTTTTGAGCGATCGTTCTTACGAAGCGAAATCTAGACCCATGTATTTGTCTATAACAACGCCCCTAGCAACGGTTTGCTTGAAGCGGTAACATCACACCTACCGGGTCAGTCACCGATGGTTACGATTAAACAAATACGACTTAGTCGGTGTTAGGTACGGTGGGAGCTCAGGCGATATTATTTTTCTCTCTCGCAAACTGTTGGCATACATGGAGAACTGAAAAACGTTTCCGGTGATGTCAGATGAGGCTTCTCATGATAGGCAACAATGGGATGAAGCAGCAAGATGGCTCAAATGTCGGTACTCTTAAGCGTAGCTTTCTAGTCGTATATGCGGTTCGCAAGTTTGTCCGCGTCTTGCGCAGGGGTTACGATGAGTCCAGAATGCCGAGCTCTGACTGACTCTGACAAGAAGTATAGTGGGAAGACCTCACGGCACCCTTAGCATTGAGGCGTATACCCACTATCTTTCCCATCAGTGCCAATCATAGCTCGGCGTTCTGACGTCACTGCAACCCCTGCGCAAGATGCAGACGAACTTGCGTTCCGAATAGGTTGTACAAGGCCCGGCACATCTTACTCACCAATGAAGGAGCCGTAGGAGTTTGTCCGCTTTCGTGCGTAAAATACGCCGACGAGCTGGGGAAAGAGCAGCACGTACACCGCGTCCGAGCTCAGGGCCCAAAAATCGCTGACAGAATTGACGTAGAGTGCCATGACTGTGGCTACCGCGCCCATAATCCAGATCGCCAGTCGCAGCACCAGGCCGATCTCCAACACCGTCGCCTGCAGACGATCATTAGAGTACGTACGATCAATGACAGAACCTAGAGCGACGAAACGAGCTACGGACAAGGTATTTGGTCTCGATTTCCAGGTTTTCTTGCGGGCACCGCCATGTTTGTGCTAGTGCAAAGCGGAAGCAGTGGACGATCATTAGAGCTGTGAAATGCAACTAGCGACTAGCTATGCTTTAGAAACACTGTCAGAAAGCTCAGGCGATATCGTTTTTTATGTTGCGAGTGTTTTGGAATTTCTGAAGAAGGGAAAACCGTTTCCGATGATTTCAGATGAAGGATAAGGCAAGCTATATTCCAACTTATATTCCCAAATGATCCGGAAAGACTTTAGCGGACGCTACCGGCGCCGCGCATGCGCGATGGGGTGTGGGCAAGAAGCGCACCGTTGTTCATTAACAAACCATTGGAATGCCACGTTATCGACGTCGATGCGAGCCCCGTGTTCTTTTTCGGTTTGGAATTGTTGATTTTACGTGTTCTTAGAAAAGTCGGACTACTTTAATGGCCTCAGCAAAATTAACGAGGCTCCTTACGCCCAAAAACTTCAAATGAATAATGTGACATGCGGCTATTAATTCATTCCGCGTGGACCCCGCAGAATGGACGCTACAGCCTGATTCACAGGACGAAATTCTGCTTGATATTTTCAGTCGTGATGCAGCGACGTCGCGTGGGCTGCAAAATAAGTGCGGACGGCAGCAACAATGCTCGACGACGATATACTGAAAATCGCCAGCAAACTCGGATCATGTTAATCGGGCGTAATAAGTCAGTGATGGCTTCCGGTAACAATGATTAACATCCCCTTCTATCTGGTATCCAAGTAACCCAAACGACCTTCAAATTTAAAATATTTTGAGAACCGCGCTTACTTCTTATTGCAATTACCGCGCCAACGTTTAGCCTGCGGGTCGTTGTCGACTGAACGAGCAGATCTTTGGCCCTCGAGCACCCCACAAAACTACAAAAGCTGCGCTTCAGCCTGCCACTCTGGGATCTGACGCCGACATGGTCGCTAGAAACGTACGACTCATTTCTTCCGGCGGGGTGGTTCGTAGCAGCTTTTCATGACGCTGCAGCAACGACGTCAGCCGTCTCGGAGGATTTCGGCTTCCGACAAGATCAGGTTTGCCCGGCGTTCCCGCCCCCCTGAGATGGCTACTCACTATTGGATTTGACAACGCTACCGGCAGTCCTTGAACATCAGATCGACTGACAACCTTGGGCCCTCGAGCACGCCATAAAAATACAAAAGCTGCAGCCTCAGCCTGCCACTCTGGGATCTGACGCCGATATGGTCGCAAGAAACGTACGACTCTTATTTCTTCAGGTTGATTACTTTATCGTCCTTACAACGGGAAAACCTTAAGAGAAATTGGCGCCAAAGCCCACTTTTTCTTTTACAATACTTGTACGATGTATCACTTAATTTTGAGATATACGCGTTTTGTCGAAAAATTGCATTTGCTTGGAGAAAACACCGGCTTCGCTCCATGGGACCGGTTAATGCTTTCCCATTAAAAATTTGAATACAACTATGCAAATTAAGATTTTTTTCACAGCCCCCAAAGTTACGGAAGCTAGTCGCGCGGCACAGTGGCTCGCGACGGTCGATATACCACCACATTCAAGCTGAAGAAGCGTTTACAGTATAGGGGGGCGCGAATACTGATCGGAATACATTAGCACAGCGTTACCCCTAGCTTCAACACTGCAAAGAGAGACGGTTTTTCCGCTAAATGTAGTGGGGAAATTATGTCACGTGATCAATACACGAATTCAGTTCCCCCGCTATACGTTTAGCAGGAGAATTGATGTACGGCACCTACAGGCAAATTCAGCTTGCCCGCTAAATTTGGCATGAAAACTGACGTCATGGTACCTACGTACCAGTTCAGTGTCCCTGCTTTATTTGGCAGGAAAATTGATGTCACGTGACCTGGCTTTGCGTGACCTATACACCGATTGGGGTTCTCCGCAAATCTTGATAGGGACGTTGATACTAGATGACCTAACGTCACGCGACCTATGCACCAATCTAGTTTCCCTGGTAGACTTTGCGAGAAAATTTATATCACGTGACCTACTCATTAATTCAGTTTTCCCGCTAAACTCGATGGGGAAAATTGATGTCACGTGACCTTATCTACCGCGAACTCTAAGTTCAATTTGCTCGAGAAATTTCGTGGAAAATTTACGACACGTGACCCGATTTCCCCTAACCAGCACTTTTATATTTATGCCACGGGACATTTACTATACAATATTCTATATAGTCTTGTATATAGTAAAGAAATTGAAACGAGTGCTTCTTGAATACCTTTCGCGCATTCTATATGACTTTAAAGGTAAAAGTAGCTGCCATTTTGTTTTTTGCATTTTCCGCAGCTTATGAGATTTCGTCATCAGCCGATAAGAACGGCGAAGAACACGTTACGAAGTGTGATTACAATAATTCACGCCCCGAGTTTCTTAGCATCTCGGTGACTATATAGTTTACAGTCATCTATACGTGCCTGCTTCATCGGTAATTTCAACGCTGCTTCATCCACCCACATTCTCACCCTCCCTTCATTTCATGTCGCCGATAGAAAGGTCAGCGTCCATACCATCAGGCGTGCACATGAGGTCGCCGTTAGAGGACTCCCGACCCGGACCAAGCGGCAAGCAGGACCTCGGAAGCTATAGACGAGTCTTCGTCGCGCTCGGTAGGTGCGAACGCGATGACGACACAAAGAACGCGTCGGCGGCTTTGCGACGACTTGCGTCAAGCTTCAGCGTTTTGGGGAAAGTCGCGGACCTGGTCTTCCAGGCGGTATTTTTCAGCGCGCACGTACCCTAGGTCTTAAGGTCGTCCGATATATGTTCTGGGTGATCATGGTCGAGGCGCTGAGCATGGACGAGTCCGCCGACGACAAGACGGCCGAAGTGATGGCGGCCAAGCCGAGGATGGACACGGTGTTTGGAGTCATGTAGCGGATTGCACTCGCAATAACCGCGCCGCTGTCATCCAGTACTGCGGGCCCCGGATAGCCTGCCGCTGTGAAGTCTGCATCGGATAAAAAAAAACAAAAAAAACGCGGAGTTTCGATGACTGCGGTAATTATAATATAGTCCTCGACAGCCCTTCCGGTATCTTCTATTGGCGACGTGAGCGATCGAAAGCGTCGCTGTGGTCGGCCCACCCTAATTGGCCGAATGCTGACTATGACATCAGCAAAGGATATCCAATTGGCGCGAATAAGAGGAATGTAAGAACTTCAATTTTGACGTTGTGGGCAGTGTTACTTTGAGAGCGCTATGATTTCAGGCTTTCACCATGCTCATTACAGACACCATTGAACTTGTTCTTCCCAAGGTAATGACGTCACGAAAGGTAACCAAATGAGGGCTCCACCGAAACATCTCGCCGCTAATAGACAATCACACCTTTCACAAGCTCAGTGCCATTATCAAATATCAGTTTAAATTTGTGCATGCTAATAGAGGTTAAAATCTAGTACCTATTATACTTCGTCTCACCCTATAGCATGGACTAAGTGCAAAGGCTGTGCAAGCGCGAGCGGGCAGCAGGACTGCCTTTACTGGAGCACCCGCTGCACGAGCGCTAATGCAGCCGCCGAGGCTTCATCCACTTTTAGCATGCACGGATAAAAATACTCCATGCAAAGGTGAGACGAAGTATAGAAAACGTTAGACGTACGAAAGCTACGGTATTCTTTGATGTACGGTTATTTCTCTTTTTTCAGTTTCGATGGTCTTAAGAAACTACCACTCCGTTCGAAGCGCTTAATTGAGTAAAAGTCGCCATACAATTCACCACATTTTATTGTCATGAGTTGTATGCGGCGTATCGAAGCTGAGCATTTCAAGGATTTACGTTATACCCTCAAAAGGGTATTACATAGTAGCTTACAAGACCCGTCACTATGACATCGAACAATATATACAGCGTACGTGGTACGTCTGGAATGTTGAGGCTCCGTGCCGATGCCCGTCTTCAAATTCTTGCTTCACCAGCCGTCGAAGGCAGTCATTAGCATGTACAGATGACATACACTTAGATTATGAGAGTTATAAAATGTGGCCAGACTAAATTTGGGAACTGTCTATTGCAAGCATGACACCCCGATAGATGCCCCATGGATGCAAGCACGTGCAGCTTGCGCGTGATTATAGCTTTGGCAAGCTTGAAAATGCACGGACTTTCTTGAACGAGCGGACACATGGCAGTATCCAGTCGCCTTCCTTGCAGCGGCTCCGGAAGTGCATCTGATGTGTGGGGGCGACGACGTCTGGGGGCTCATGTCGCATCGTGTAGTTCACCTCTCACCTTCTTTTTCTCCTCTTTATATATATATATATATATATATATATATATATATATATATATATATATGGGTGATTTCATCTCAAATCGGGCAGGCTAACTAAAAGGGTCTAATTTTGAATCTTGATAAAAAAAAATATGTTCTTGAGGCATTCGCAAATGAAAAAGGGCGCCAACTGCATGTTCCCCAGATTTTTGTTCTCGAGTTACGATGCGTTGAAGCCGCAGAGGCAGAAACTAGTCTTTTTGCCTGCCGTCGCAGGTAGCGTGTTTGACACCCTCTGCTGCCGCTACTGTTTCTCCTCCACCATCCTAACTTTTCCCCCTTATTTCATAGGTACCACAAAAATACCTTGACGTATTCAAACATTTTTAGGACTTTTAATATATTTTTTTTTCTAAAACAAACGTGAAATTCGTCGTTCAGGTCGATTTTTGGTCAAGTTTGATAGGTCCTTACTTTGTCTTTGCTTAAGGTTAATTTTCTTTCTTTAGCTCTATAAAAGGTCCAAAGCAAGTCCATTGTAGATATGATAATACTATTATATTATATGGACTAGCCGCTCCGCCACTTTCACACAAACGTTGTGAGAAATAACAAATGTTGAAAGCTCGAAGTGGATTTTCTCAAAAACCTCATTTTTTGGTAATTTTTCATTTTTAAAATATTTTTTTTAGATATCATTGTCGACTACGAGAAAAATGCAATCTAGAAAAGTTATATTTTGGCTGTATGTCCTCTATTTGAGCCGAACTCGTTTGAAATATGTTCTCATTTGTCTAAAATATAGCAACCTCACTGGCATCATGCGCCTTTACGATGTCAAAAATATGTTTTTATTTTGTTTACGTTTTCAAAACGGAACATAAAGTAGGCGAACTGGAGATATTCATTATAACTTAAGACTTGAAATAATGAAGAAGCCACATAGGCACACTACGAAACAATTACTAACAAATATGTACAAATCAAAAGGTCACGCAACATTATTTTTGTTTACGCTTAGGAAAAAACAACCTTCGCAAGACTGGTTCTTGCTAGAGTGTGAAGTGTGTTTGAATAGGAATGACGCATCTCTGGTTAAGTTAGGACTCCAACTCGAAGACAAACTGGAGCTTGCAACTTGAAGACGACCTGGAGCGGTGAAGCGAAGTACTGCATTGTGACGCTAACGAGCGCCGACAGGGAGCGCTTCGGTAGTGACAGCGGAGCGGAGGCTTCTACGCGGTATAGTCTGGTGGTGGCACTTTCCGCACAAGTTTTGTCTCACGCGTCGGATTAGCCTGTGGCACCTCGTCGCCTGTGGAGTGCAGCTTCAACATGCACCAGACTCACGGGAGGTGGGAGGGGAGAAGAGCGGAGGGGGGATGGGGGGGGGCGGTCGGAACAACTTTGAGTGTGGGGGCATGCCTCACTGGTTTAGAACCTGTGGGGGCGGCTGCTCCCCCTTACTCCCGCCCCCTCCTCCTCCGCCCTCCTCCTCCCCCCCCCCACCCTCCACCCCAAAGCGGCGTGCTGTATCTTGGTCAAGTAAGCGGCACTCGAAGGCACACGCTACAGTGCGAGTCAACGGAGCGAGCGCGGGCGGCCAAATCACAGCGTACTCGGCTCTCGCGTCGCGATTGTTGAAACACAGCTCTGCCTAGCCCTATGACATGTGTGCGGGTGTTCATAAATGGCTCCTCTCGACTGCACGCGGGTCAAATGAACCAAAATGAACAGCTAACAGCGCGATAGGAATCGGTAGTAACGCTAGTACTCACCCGGGGAACGACGCGCGAAGTGGCGTGTTGTCCGTCGGCACTCCCGTCGAAAAAGGCGAAATAAAGACACAGATACTATATATATATATACAAGAAATATCGCGCTCTGAAGAGAATAGGAACACTTAGAAGCAATAAAAAATACACTGGAATAGATAAAAATAGGTAATAAAATCGAAAAACAGAGGATCAAGAGGAGGCAAGCGACAAAGCAATGCGATTTCAAGGCAGAGCGGCCAGTTGAGGGACAATCTCTCCCAGAATTTCTCGCGCGCGGGCCGGGGCGCGCTTGGGGGATTTCGCAAAAGGTCTATTGTGATGGGACCACCGCTGGTACAGAGAAGGCGTCCCAAGTATGCGTGCCCTCGTTTTGCCTTCGCTATTAGCGGCGAGATGTTTTGGCGGCGCCCTTTTATGGTTCCCTCTTGTGACGTCATTACCTTGAGAACAACAAGTTCGATGGTGTTTGAAATTAGCATGGTGGAAGCTTGAAATAATTGCAATCTGAAACCAACACTGCCAGCACTGTCAAAAATGAAGCTCTTACATAACTCTTATTTCTGTCAATGAGAAATTCTTTGCTGACGTCAAAGCTGTATAGCACACGGCCAATCGTTGAAGGCCGACCACAGCGACGCTTTCAATTGCGCACGTCGCCAATAGATTTACCCTCTCATAACCGAGGTGGGACCCACGGGGCAATGGCACGTGCAGCTCAAATTTGGCATGCCGACGTCGCACCATCGGGGAACCCGCGCGGGAGTATATTCTATTTGCTGCCCCATGGCAACTTTGTCCACGTGGAGACCACGTTTACCGTAGTAGGTCTGCTACCTGGCAGCCTTCATTTCTTCTACGAATTTATTCGCACACTTAAGCGTTTCGTACTTGCGGTTTTTGACGCAGCTCCTATTAGTGCCGCCGGGATGGTGAGAAAGAAACAGGCCATCGCGGTGAAGAAGGAGAGCAGCTTCGCATTCACCACGCTTTTGCACGAGAGGACGCGTTGGAAGTACACCTGAAAACAAAATGTCGATTATTCATGGTTATTCATCATACGGCGTGTCTGTGGGGAGACGGGGGTCTTCAGGTCGATTTCTAAGACCTTGATTTTTGGCAAACTCACTGCGGAGCACAAGCCCACTCACCGATGTTGCTGAACGCTATCCACAACCAAGTCTGCGCAGCATCACAGTAGGTATCATTGATGTCAACATTTGCTGTATTTGAGTAATATTCTGAGTATTTTGTGCCGTCTACCGCCTGACAATAACGTCAATTTATCAGAGTATCTAGATTCTAGAATGTATCAGATATATATTTGCGAAGTATACAACACAGTAACCATCCAATTCAAAAGGTATTTTAGTAGTCGCTGGTTATGAAACTTGCCACTACTGCTTGAAAATAGCGCGGCGGCACGGGTTTCAAGTCGCCGATTGGATACTGAACTAGCTTATTTCTTAGACAAGCTACCCATCATATACACGCTGTCACCTCAATGAAAGAGTAGACGCGTGTACCCTGTTGAGTGCTTTTGGTCACATGCTGGCTCGTATGTTAATCTGTTCCGAAAATGAGTCCTTGTAAAAAGGTAGCTGTGAGAAAAGTGTGCGTTTTTGCATAGGAGTGAAACTTAATATTCATGACAAGGTAAATGATAAATGCACATAATACGCATGACATTACTTCAGTCTACGAGATTGAAGGATCGTTTCATACATCGTAGCTGCCACTAGCCATCGAAGGTCAGCTTATCAAAATTGCAATTTCAACTGCTCGAGTGGCACTACCAGTTCTATCTCCCGCGGACGTTTCCCTTCGTGTATACTTCAAGCACCATGAAAACGGAAACGCCCAATCAAGCCAAACGAGGAAGTGTATTTTAAGTGTTCATTCTTATATGCGCCGCCAAGAGGACAAAAAAAAAAAGGCTGTCTCTTTGGCTTTTCCCGAGGGCATATCAAATGCATAGACTTTATAAGAGGGTTTGGCGAATATACGAAGCCGCAAATGTCACGGGACGATACGCGGCGCTGACGTAAATAAACGTCGTGTTCTGACGTCAGTTCACGATATCATGTCATACTTATAGTGTTACTGGACGTAATGGAGTACCATGAAATCCCAATGTCACGTAACGCCATGGGGACACTTGAGGTGATGTAACGATTTCACATTATGATGTCACCTGACAACACGGAGTCACATACTATTATGTTGCCAAGCGACGCCAGTGTCATCTGACGCCATGATGTCACTTAACGACCGTTACGCTGATACGCCACATGAACATCATGTCGTAATCATGGTGTTCACGTAATGACGTCACGATGAGCGTTTTAAAACCATGTAGAAGTCACGGGAATACTGTGACGTCATCAGCGTGACGTCACCATTAGGCTACATGACATGGACATGAAAGCGCTGAGAGACAGCCCTCCAAATTCTTTGCATTTAAACCGTAGATTAAGTTGCTAGCATCATGCCAACGCAACAGGCGTTAGTGTCGGCCCCATCTTCAAAGTGAAGAGGAATTTCAAACGCGGCAACGATGCTCGAAAACTCCATCGAAGAAACGCCTGATCACTGGAGGTAAACGGAGGAGAATGGCAGTAACTGCAGAGAACCGCTCAAGCCGGAAACGGGCTGCAGAACTACAGCCCGTTTCAGATTTGAGCGGCGTCCCCGTTGCTGTCGGCGTAACCGTGAGGTCACGTGACCCCGGTGACGTCACGTGACCCCTGTGAGATAACGAGCGTCACGTGACGTCGCGAGGGTCACGTGACTTCACGGTTTCGCCGACGGCAACGCCGACGCCGCTTGGAGGGACGAGTACTAGGCAGGATGAGAAGGTAAGGAGGAGGGAGGAGGGGTATACGCACGCCTAAACTAAGTATCCTTCCCTCCTCCTCCTCAAGAGCTGCGCTCTAATTCGGTGTTATAAGGAGTTGTAAGCGACTTCCATTTTTTTTTTAAGACTTTTCATGATTGCACGCCGAAAATGAGCCCCTTCCTTATTTCCACCCCATTTCCTCTCAATTTTAGGTGGGCTATCTTTCGGGGTATTAGAGCACTGTATATGGCACGTGAGATGCGAAGAAATTTCTACTTGCGAAATAGTCTAAACAAGCGATTAAAACATTTGTAAGGATAAAGTTTGCTCAATAGGAAAAAAAAGCTCCAGGTACACCTAAGCATTTCTTATGAGTTCTGAATACGAAAGCATGCAAGCCGCTCGTCCGCTCCCTTTTTCGCCTGCTGCGTAATTTTGGTCGCCGGTCAGCGAGCGCGCTCCCCTGTTCGCGCTGATGGACACGCAGCGCCATGGGGTGAGCGGTCGTGGAAACTGACGAGCGCAGCGGCCAATGGGAACCCCGTTGACGCGCGCCAACCAATTGAACGGAACGCAAAATCCATCAGCTTCACTTCGCTCCTTTGGGATTGAGGAAACTAGGTGCTGTTTTCGCGCTTCAAACTGATGACGTCGGCTCGCGCCATAAGACACTCAAAAATTCCGCATTAAAAACGGTATTTCCTTAGTCTACTGAGGCAATGTTGCAGTTCTTGCGTTAATGAGGAGTTCCGTAGCGCTAGCCCGGATTTGGTATCGGTATTCTAATGTACAACTCTCCAAAGCTCCGTTCGCTAGGGGTTCAGTCTACGCGTCACGGAGCCATTTCGTTGGTAAAAACCTAAAACATTCCATCAGCAGCCGGACCTGTCTTACTTAACCCCTTGAAGTGACAGCAAGTATGTTGCTAGCATTTCCTTTTTTATTATTAATTTGAACGGTTAAAATATTTGACTCTCCAATCTTCATTGGAACAATGCAGATAGGCATAAACTTGGCAAATCATACTATCATAGATTTGTCTGCTCTCATTTTAGCGTTTTCAATTGATTTGAACTAACCATAAATCTAGGCACGCCATTGATATAAAATATTGAAGTGCCACGTCATCCAAAAAAGCCGGTATGTTCGTTTAGGGAGACCATGATATGTGACTTTTGATATGAATAGCTAAACGGATAACGCTCATAAAAAGAGCGATGGATCCCGGCGCATTCAGTGTGCGTGACTCACCCGACGCACAGAGGCACCGGATTCACCAAGGCACCAGAGACGGCTGTCTCCGCTGTCTCCAATGTTGTCCATGACGATAGGTGGTGACAGTTATTCCCCCGAAACCCCGAGGCAGCGCGCGTCCAGTCGCTCCTACTACGCAAAAGATGTTCGTGCCAAGGCCCTAGGATTTTCGCGGAGGAAGGTGTACCGTATTACCAGGACTATAGTAAGCCTTCTATACATGTCTCAAAGTTAAAATGTGACGCAGTGCATAACTACACATACGAGTGCGGACTATACAATAATATTTTTCCATGTCGTTTTTTTATTACGACGCGTGATGGAATTTCCTGAATTACAGACTATGTTTATAACGTATTTTTCAAGGTATGCTACGTATGATATGTTTTATGATGAGCCTACATCGCACACATCAGGTGTGGACAACGCATCGTATGAGGACTACTCTACAAGGAGAAAAGTTTAGATTTTAGAAGATATCTTGACCTCTAACTTCTCTCGGAGAGGAAAATATATGTAGTCAAAATTGTCTGTTTTTTTAATGCGAAAGCATGGACTGTCCCGTGGAGCGGAGCCGGCGTTGTTTGTAACCGCGAAAAACGGCAGAGAAATTCCATCCGGGGAACGGCTCTTAAAATGTCTGCGACGCGGTTGGCACGCCGGATAGTTCCAAGGAACGCCACCCCACAGAGCGGCGCTGCTCCCACGCGCTGCTGCAGCAGAGCACACACGTCGCTCCCCAAAATACGGCCGGCCGGCGTCCGCAGACTTCTGCCCGGCTGGCCTCGGCAGATAGCGTGGCCCGCTGCTAGTAGGAATACGCTACGTATACAAATGGTTTTGCATTCCTACACGTAAGATGTCTTAAGTGTCCTACTGTAATTTTTTTTTTGATCTGGTTTATTTTTGTGAAGATTACGTCCGTGTGCACACGTGTGTTCTGTACAATGCACAGCTTTGAGGTCACCTCTTTTATACACGGTTGTTCGAACTGTGAACTATTGGTTGGAAAACCCACCTTCAACCGTCCTTTTGACCTCAAACTGACTGATACAGCTCATGTACGTAAGGTGTGTTTTGTCCTTGAGAGTGTGTCGTTTGCGGGTTTTTCCCCTGCCCCCGGGATTTCCCTTTCTCTCTTTTTTGTTCAGACTTTGTATTAATAGATTCTGTGGCAATAATATTTCAGCTGCATTTGAGACTTCTGTCCTTCTTCATGTAGTTTTTGTCGCTTTTCTGTCATCACCGCAGCCTCGGGTGATTCTATAATTAAATCTTTTCTTAAAGCCGAAATTTGTTTTGACCGACTACAAATCGGGTACGAACTAGGGTGAGGAAAATACGGTATTCCCCCTCGAAGAGTTTTCGGTCACGTGTTCCGCCGTTTAATTCATGCCATATAATAAATCGGCTCACAGCGTCAACCCCTGAAATTGGGTTCCGTTTGGTTTCGCTCGGCACAAATATATTACGGAGATCAACTAATATTGCAATTTGGGCCAGTTTGTGCATGATCGTAGACAGGCACCGGAACATACAAGGACAAGAATAGACGTAAACACTGGCGCCAGTGTTTACGTCGCTTCTAGTCCTTGTGTTTTTCGTCGCCTGTCTACGAATAGAGAGCTCAATGTTTTTTGTCACCTGCCACGGGATTCCCCCAAAGACCGTCATGGCAGAGATATCCAGCAGCTGAGGGACGTCCATCAATTGGATGCGGCCGACCCAGTCACCTTGATCTGACCCAATTTGCCCGACGGCCTTGTTGGTAATGATGAAGGGTACGCAGGTCCACTGCGGAGCGAGCCGACAAAGAACGTATCCCTCTGAATATAAGACGGGCCCATGCGATCCTATAGTCGTCTTTGGCGTTAGCTGCTGGGCTTTCGGTAGTAAGTCATATAAAGCCTTTGATAGCGGGACACCTA